GCACTGACCCTCCAATAATGCCCACTCCGTCGCCACTGACCTCTGACAGGGCAGCAGTCCCATATCATTGGAGTTACCCTAGAACCAGTGGGAAGGAATTTGGGAGGTATTACCACAACTTTTAAAAAAGTGTGATGGACTATATTGAATGGAACTGAGCAGCATACGTCCAGATCTCAGGGAAATTACTGCACAAATAGGGATGATCTAGCATTCTTAAAGATGTGAAAAGAAGGTATTTGAAGTTTGAGAAGATTTATAGCTCGGGTTGTGGCTGAGGTTGTAGACTTGATCGCCGAGCCGGTGGGTTTGATTGCAAATATTTCATCACCCCACTGGGTAACATTGTCAGTGTGCCTCAGTGAAGCGTTGGTGTTCTGTCCCACTAGTTATTTATATGCCTCAGTTTGTTGGGGTGTTTGGCATCACTTCTGGTTCGGTTTCTCAGTGGTTTGTACACAGGGTCTAATTCAATGGTGTTTGTTGTTGGAGTTCCAGTTAGAGTACCAGGCCTCCAGGAATTCCCTGGCGCATCTGTTTGGCTTGTGCGATTATTGATGTGTTGTCCCTGTCAAATTTGTGTCTCTCTTTGTCCATGTGTAGTGAGGCAAGTGAGAACTGGTCGTGTCTCTTGGTGGCTAGTTGGTGTTCAAGTATTCGTATTATCAGTTTTCTTCTGGTTTGGCCTATGCAGTGTTTGTCACAGTCACTGCATGGTATTTTGTATACTACACCGATTTTGCTGGTTTTGGGTATGGGATCTTTACGTTCATCAGTAGGTATCGCAGGGTGGTTGTTGGTCTGTGAGCTACCCTGATACCTAGGGCTGAGTCGTCTTGTGGTCATCCCTGCAATGTCCTTGATGTATGGTCGGGTGATTAGTGAGTCTGGTCGTGTTGTATCTTCCCATTGTAGTCTGTCTCAAAGGTAACAGCGGATTGTGCTTTTTGGGTATCCATTCCTTTTGAAGACTCCGTATAGGTGCTCCTGTTCTGCTTCGCATAGTTCCGGGTTGCTGCAATGTGTTGTGACTCATTTAAATAGTGTCCTGATGCAGCTCCGTTTTTGGGCATTGGGGTGTTTGCTAGTGTAATTGAATATTTGGTCAATATGTGTGGTCTTTCTATATACGCTAGTCTGGAGTTCCCCCGTTGTTTTTGCGTTCTATCATTATATCCAGGAAGGGTAATCGGTTGTTCTCTTTTTCTTTCATGAATTTTATCCCAGTGAGAATGTTGTTTATGTGTAAGTGGGTTTCATAGAATCCCTACAGTGTGGAAACAGGCCCTTCGGCCCAATCAGTCCACACCAAACCTCAAATCATCCCACCCAGACCCACCCCACTATAACCCACCTAATCTACACATCCCTGAACACTACAGGCAATTTAGCATGGCCAATCCACCTAGCATGCGCATCTTTGGACTGTGGGAGGAAACCAGAGCACCCGAAGGGAACCCACGCAGACACGGGGAGAACGTGTAAACTCCACACAGACAGTCGCCCAAGGGTGGAATCGAACCCGGATCCCTGGCACTGTGAGGCAGCAGTGCTAACCACTGAGCCACCGTTTCTTCTGGTTTTGTGTGTTTGATAATCGCGAAGATTTCATCTACACATTGGACCCAGAGTTTGGGTCGCATAGTGGGGAGCACTGTCCGTTCTAAACTTTGCATTACTGCTTCTGCAATCAGTCCTGATATTGGGGATCCCATTGGTGTTCCGTTGATTTGTTTGTATATGCCATCGTTGACGGTGAAGTGAGTTGTGATCTAGTAGTTTCACGGTGGTGTCCTTATTGATGTTGTTGGTATACTGGGATGCCTGCTTACTTAATTCGTCCAGCAGTATGGCAATTGCCCCTTTGGCCAGGTCGATGTTTATGGATGTAAATACTGCTGTTACACGCCAAAGGATATCATCATCTCGTCCTCTTCTATCCTGGTGTCCTTGATGATGTTGAGCAATTCTTGGGATCAATGAATGAAGCAGGTAGTGTTGTCCACTAAGCATTTCAATTTCTGTTGTAGTTCTTTGGCAAGTCCAAATGTTGGTGTACCTGGAAGTGAGACAATGGGTCTGAGGGGTATCCCCTGATTTGTGTACCTTGGGGAGTCTGTAGAAGTATGGTGTGTTGGATACAAATAAATAAAAAGCGGGACTGAACACTGACGCTTCACCGGAGGCACACTGACAATGTTACCTAGCAGGGTGACGGAACATTTGCAACCAAACCTACTGGCTCGGCAAGCATGTCTACCACCTCAGAAGGTATTTGGCCTGGGCATCAAAAGATGCTGATAGAACTCCAAGAGAATGGGTGTTGGATGCACTGAAGCCAGCTACAGAAATCTAAAGGAGGTTCGGAGGATTAACGTCCTATGCTCATACCCTCATTATAAGCTGTGGCAAAAATGAACATTTGAATCCCAGAGCTGATCACCTGACTCATTGGATGTGTTTGAAGTGAAATACCTTGTGTGTATGTTCCACAGTAACAATCAGCCCCCAAACGCTTTGTGACAAACCAAAATGGAATGCAATTTTTAAATTGGACTGAAACTAGTTGTTGTGAACAGCCCACAATGTGGTGTTTAATTACAGACCCCAAAAGCAATGATGTAAGGTGTTGGATGGCTGGAAGATTGCTGGGGAAAAATCCCGACGGAAAGTGAAATACCAAAGGGGATATGGTATTTCCAAATAGAGCAGAGAACCTACAATCTCTCCCAGGTAGATTCTGTTCCTATTTGGGAAAAAGCAGATAGGGTCAAAGTGCTGTATCTGCAACAAGACCAAGATAAACAAATCTTTAGGTGGAAACAGTGAGAGAGGTGTGAACTGGGGCAGGGGATTTTTGGGATGGGCTGCAGGTACCTCAGATAATTTACACCAACTGAAACTGACCACAGTCCAGGGACCCTGTGAGAAGAAGTTAGAAGGACCCTAATCCTAAACCTAACCTGACAAACATAATTAATCACCATGAGTCAACAGCAATTGAAATGAGATGCCTGATATACCAATTATTTCACTACAAACAAAAAGTGTAGGGTGGCAGATAGAAACAACAAAGGGAGGCTTAGCCTTAGACAGGGATAATCTCAACAATGGCACCATCCTCAACTCAATATGTCATGTCAACCATCAGAGGACAAATGTCTCCTTACAGAAAGACAACAGAGCATGGGGTGATGTGGTGGAATGGTTTTCAACCCCAAGCGGCCTCTCTGAGGTGTTGGGACGATGCTGAAAGGTGCATGTACAAGTCAATAAAGTCTAAACCGAGGAACTCCTCTGCTCCTCCCCCCAACCCCGTCCCAACAGCAGCAGCAGGAGAGACCATGAGAGATTTGAGCAACCAAAAAACATCATTCATCCCCAGTACTAACCCCACAACCCAAACAGCCCGAGCAAATGAACGGACTAGTCAGTGGCCTAGTATTCTCAAACCTCAATAGGTTTCCTACACCAATGTTTCCCATCAGCTAAAGCCCTTGCTTTTGAATGCGTCCGGTATAATGCTACCACTGCAACAGAGATCCTGGAACAACAGGCAAACAGTTAGTAAATTGGATGTTTAGACTTCCTGGGACATATCAGATGGTGGAGGCGGTGTCAACGGCTATGCATAGCCTATGGAACTTGGTTACTGAATGATGTGCTCCATAACTTGGAGCAGACAGGCCAACACGAACTGCTAAACTGGGTTCATGAGTAAACCATCCAAGATTAGCTCCTGCAGGGAAGTGACAGCACTGTCTGCTGTATCATGAAAGCTGTCAGAAAAGGGAGAAGCCAAATCAACACTCGGTGCAGTGGTACTGCAATCCCACAGCTGGATGCAACTATCGTACCAGATACAGAAGACTGGGATATTACAATCTGGTGGGTGGGAGCGTGCAGCATATCCCTTTGGCCGGGTACCAAAGGGGAATCAGGCAAATGGCACAAGGCTCCACAAGTGGCAGTATGGACCCACCCTGCTGTGATTACTCCTTTTACACAGTCAATATTCTACTTCGCACCCAGTCACGCACACTAGTCAACGGAGTAACATTATAGCCAATTATAGACCAGAAAGCAGGAGAATTGGAAATAGCAGTAGAGCACCCATACCTGGAGAGATACAGTCAAAAAGGACATCCCCAACCCCACTCAAAGTGAACTCCAGTCAGATATGCGGAGAAAGAAAAAAGGTCAAAGAAATACAGAAGGATGTGGAGACGGATAATTCAAACACAGACATGATGGGAAAGAATTAGGTCTCCCCATGTGTCATCAACTTAACTTGGGAAAGGAGAGAGGTACACACAGACATAACATGAAGGAGAGAGAGAGAGAGAGACGTATGAATACGTCAATGTGAAAACGCCACAATTATCCACCCGAGAAGGTGTGCCAAGCTATAGTACAGACACCAGAAACCAGTGTGGGGTGGAGTGGGGGGCGGGGGGGGGGGCGGGTGGGAAGAGACACAATTAAAAGGGTTAATACACCACAACCAGTGTCTGGGCAAGCACAGGGAGTGGACAAATTCTAATTAAAAAAGGGTTACTGTATCAATTATATGATACAAATCTTGAAATTGGCGGATCATACAGACACTGTAACCTATCACACTTCCATATTATAAAATACGCTGCAACCATTGTCTGGGAGTCACAGCACAGACATCACACTGTCCTTTGGTTCCTTGAATAATGGGGATCATTAGTATTGGTGCTCCTCTCACCACACAACAGCTCATTCACCACTGACCCTCCCACAGTGCGGCGCTCCCTCGGCACTGACCCTCCCA